TCCTCCATTAGCACAAGAGTGCCTTTGTTTGGTCATTGGCTCCTTTGCCTTTGCTTCCAGCCGCATCACATTTGATTGTCCTGTAGCGGCCCAGTTTAGCACTACCACACAACCCCATAGTTAACAGCCGGTCACAATCCGAGAAAGGAGAAGACAAAGAGTCGACAGAGGGCACGACCGTCTATTAGCGTCACGCCAGTCAAGTAAAATCGAGCAACTCACTTTTGTGTGCGTATCGATACGCGTGCGTAACAGGCGACTGCTAACACAAAAATCAATAACAAAGAGGGTGAGTCATTGATACAGTCGGGCAAGCATGCACGCAGCACTCACGCACTCAGTGGCTGTCTGTCCAATGCAGGGAATTCACGAAAAAAAATCGATTGATTTGTGTTCGCTCACGCCTGCACACTGCGTTCGCTCACAAATGCTGGCTTTGCCGGCTTGCTGGTTGCCACGGTCCATTTGATAATGCCTTCATGCCATTTCACCACTACCCACGCTTAGAGAACAATATTGTGCTTTAGTGGAAGCAGCATTGTACTATGACTGACACCATTAAATAGTTGATATGTACTTTTCTCCGGATATGTACATGTTGATGTCATAGGATCGCCATTAAATTCCATGTTTTTTTCTGCTATTTTAATGAGTTGACCATTGTTCAATAATTTTCCTATGCGTGATGCCTCTTCAGGAGCATTTCAAACAATTCAGGGCCACAGTTCCAGTAAAAACTTTCCGAAATCCGTACTTAGCGTCTCTCGCCTTCAGATTTGTTCGAGTCCTAAACTGCTGTATTTAACGGCTTTTGGCTGATTGTATTTCCACCGAATTTACGCAAGATGGTGGTATTTCGCACTTTGATTCTCAAGACAAATCTTAGTCTCGATCTAACGTGTTGTAGAGAATCGGTTGAGGTCATTTCAGCAAAAATAGACAAGTAAGTTGGCTTTTTTTAAAATTAGATCATGTAAAACAACGGAGGCTTTGATTATGCCTGAGTCAGTCAACTAACAATGACGGACGGCGTTTCACCTACGACATGGACAATAAGCATCGCAGGCTGTAACTAACATGTGACTGAAGGCAACTTAACAGATGATGGGGGAGTGGCGGCCACTTTATTAGCTATATAACAACTGCGAAATCCCCCATCATTGGTGGATCAATAAGCCCTCACTTTGACCAATAGAATTGCTGCCTGTTTCGAAGGCCTGAGATAACTGCTCGGTTGACGTGGTTTTTCATTATTTCAAAGTGGTAAAATGGACAATAAGGTAATTGATCGAGTGGGCGAATACAAATTTTCCAACGGTCTTCAACATTCCGAGAAGTCTTCAATCAGAGAGGGGATACATTTGCAAACAGGCGTTAAGGTAGGTTTTTCTGCTCTCTGTCGGTAATAAGTGAATTTGGCTTGCACTCACATTTCGAATTTTCGAACGCACACTGCTAATTTCCTCTACTCTGAATGCAGCTGCAAGTCATTCACGACATTCCGTATCAGCAGGTAGATTTGCAGGTGAAGTAACGCTAGTCAGGGACACTGGTTAAAACTTATTTGAGGATACATTAAACTTTTATGATACAACACATTTTTATCGCTAATTACACAAACTCTATGATATCATACGCACATTTAGCAATGATCACGGTTGCAACTAGAGTCGAAATCAAGTTAACACCTATTTTGTTTGGTAGGGAAAACTTCGGAAAGTGTTCAAAACGTAACCCACTACAATTTGCATTTATGGGCTGCTGTCTATACTGTTTTGAATACTTTTTATTTGGAGTCAAATCCCTTCCTTATGTTTGCGCTGATCTGATTGTTTTCCCATGTAAATGCCTAAGTGGTGTTCAGTAGGAACTATAGAATTGCCAGTTTGAAACGGTTTAAGTGGTATTTCAAAAGTTTTCAGCAAATCTCGTCTGGAAACAGGCCGGTTGAATGTTTGAGAAAATCCAAAATTTACAGGAATGTGATCCAAGATTGAGTGCCTGAATCATTCGTTTGCCACACCTCTTACCACAGTCCTTCACCTTTCAAGACTGACAACGAAAAGGAATAAGAATGTTAACCGTTGAATAGCTGTTAGTGGCATCGCTATGACAAGTTAAGACATGAATTAGTATTTATGACCAAAGTATTATCAGGCCAGAGTTTAAATCACCAATAATTGGGTCTAAATGCCTTTGCACAGAGACTAGAAAGAGCAAACTATGTTTTGATTCTGTACATTCTGATGGGTCATGAATCGCCTCCCGAAAACGTTTGTGGCGTTTGAATTTGGTTTATTATTTGGCGCCAACTACGATATTAGCTGCAACGGTTTTGTTTTGGGACTAGTTGCAAAGCAAATATTTTTGTCTTATGACGAGTAGACATAAGTGTATTCATAAATTAGGTTATTTTAGGCAGTAAGTAGTCAATCCACCTTGTGGAAGTAACTTACATTGAACAGTTGCTGTTAGGTACTTGGTTTTTATGCACCTTCTGTTAATTCGATCAGCCAAACCGCTTGTAAATCATCTACACAGGAAATCATTTGCAAGTTTCGGTGTAATTAATCTGTGGGCTTTGCTTATTTGATAGTACTGAAGAACCTAGCGCCAGTAGAACCAATCTGCTATCTTTCCTTCCACATCAGTAGAATCAAAATAACAAACTCTTGTGATGCTAACTCACTATGTAGCGGATTAACAGCGATCGCGCCTGAGTGAACCATGGTTACTGACCTGACGGGGACAATGACTCACCCCTTTTTTCATTGGTTACTATATCCGATGTCTGTCATCCGTTCACTCATCCACACACTAAGACACACTTGGCTGGCGTGACGCTAGTAAACGGTCGTGTCCACTGTCGCCTCTTTTGCTAATCTTCTCGGGTTGTCTTGGGCTGTTAACTAGAGGGTTGTAAGGTAGTGCTTAGACCATAAGCTACTACAACTATAATGAAAACACACAGCCATACTTCAATGGCACCTGTGTTAGGCATGAAGCTACAAATTACTTAACTCATTCAACTTAAAAATGTCGAAAAAAAACTGTATCAACACAAATGCAGTAAATCCAAGAATTCCGTTTTCAAATTAGATACAAAAGGATTAACTACTTGACGTCTCAAATAGCCACCCACGTGTGTCTGAAGCGTCAGCTTGTAATCTGGCGTTGTTTTAGTGTAAAGTTTGTAAAGATGGCGTATTGTTAAATTTGTTTAATTAGTTGAAGTGCAGCCATTTTAACTTTTCCTTTTAAATTAAGAATTGTTTAATTTGGCAAAGTAAACGTCGTACCCCACAATGAGAATATTTTAGTTTTCTGATGTTAGGGCTCTGTTACAACATTATTAGGTCAATAAATCCAAATAAGTCAATTCAAAAGTAAATTATCAATTTTTATCAGGGATTTTAGTGGGTTGGTTTAATTTGCGTCGACTTGTAACGCACACAAGAGTGGAACTATCACCTCAGACGACATTACTTTTCTCAAACAGGTAATGATGAAGCCTCTGAGTATTCACTTGGAGCCATTTTGTAGTGCCGCGGATTTTTTTCTGTGGTTTTTGACTAAAATCACAATTTAACGATTTTGAGTTTAAATATTCCAATTTCTGTCATACCGAAAATGGCTCTTCAAGTGACCTCTTATGTAACAAAGATAAACCAACCAATGAAAGGCCTGAAACACAAAGGAATAACAGAGTGATGAACGTCGGTTGAAACAGCACAACTTGTGGTTCCAACTAACTTTAATTTAGTACTCTGTACCCAAATGTCTTGCAGGTCTATGTAGGACTTTCTAGTTGTGGTCATATTCTCGGAGTCAATCAAGAATTTTATTGTATTTTTTGAAAGTTTTTCTTCATGGTAACTGCTCACGTTCGCCACCCAATTAAAAGTCCCCAATTTCCCTTTCTCGTTGAATATTCAACTCAGTTAAAAGTAGTAGATTAGCTAGACGGTGAGGCTCATAGAGCAGGTCTAAGTTTAAATCACTTGATAAATACTCTTATCTCGAGTAAAGAATGTCGTTCTCAAATTTTGGAATTTATTACAGCAGCCTACACTTCCAACATGTTTTGCTACATGTGTTCTGTTGATTTCATATCCTCCATTGTTTTTTTCTTGATTTTCACATGTTCGTCGACTAATAAATAGGGTTTAATTATAGTGTGCTTCGTAATTCAACAAAGCTAAGCAACGAAGAGTAATTAATCTGTTTTTGTCAAATTTAAAAATACCAAGAGATGCTGCTTCTAATCATCGTATGAACAAATAAACAAACCGTCCTATTGCCCATTTAGGTACGCCTGAAGACGATTCGAGGACAAAACGTGGTCGAACACGAAAGAGACTGCCACCTCTCGAGGGAGGCAACAATTCTAGCCCATCTGTCCCATCCCAACATTATTCACGTTTACCAATTAATAAAGGTACCAAATCTGTATTTGTATAACGGTGTGCCTGAAATTTTTCCTCTCATGACACACAATTACTCACGAGTGGTTTCGAAACTTCGATCCCTTGTAGTGGTTACTAATCTCCCTTGTTCGTTGGTAGGCTTTGCAACAGTTTAATCGAAGCATGGGAAGGCAAATTTTGCTTTGTGTGTGATTGTTTTAACAGAGAAATCAAAATTTAATAAACACTGAGCAGGTCAGCAAGTCAGTGACAATTAGAGAGCTACTTAGTTACAGAAGTAACAGAATCAAATACATCCAATAAACAATTGTATTACACTCAAGAGATTGTTTTCTTCAAATAATTACCTTCAAGTAGCTTTTTACTGATCTTTATTAGTGGGTTCCCATGGGGTTTCGAGCTTGATGATCATCGTGCCGATAAAGGTTAATAGCGGACGTTCGAAACAAGAGATAGGAGAAATGACATCGAACAAAGCCGGAGTAAAATTCTTTTACGGCACAAGCAACCCTCGGATAATCGATGCAAAGGGCATCCCCAGATTCGTGTTCATGATCGAATTAAAATTGGAGGTGGCTAGATGACTATGGTGTCAGGGATGTTCCTCATGGCGTTCATTTGCTAAAAAGCTAGTTATGCTAACCTCAGCGCTGATGTGGAAAATAGTTTTAAAATTAACTATGTCATTTGCAAAAGGAAGGCAAAAAAAGTTACTAGGCTTGACGTTTGATTCACTAGACGTCCATTACTTTTATAGAAGATACGTTGATTTGTCAATGCAAAAATCAATAATCACGCGGATATTTTTTGCCAAATGCCTTGTAGGGACAGAGAAACTAACAGTTTTCACGCGGTTGTCATCCAAGAGAAAGCTTGTCTATTGTCAATGAGAAGCTAGTCACTTATTTGCTTAATTGGCTTTTGACCGAGTTGGATATGTTTGCTATTTTTTTAACGAAGCACCAGAGGACCTTCATCAGTCATTTCTGCCAACTTTTCGAATGTCGTTCTGCGGCTTTGAAAGAACAAAGATGCAAACACAGAGATTAATACTGTTGAAGATTAGTTTTCAAAATCGCCACCAGATGAAACTTATGCGGAAATTTTAGAGATTTCAGCATGCTGATTAGCTCAGAAAGTGCTTGTGAAAAAAGTGGGATGTATTTAATCCAATTGAATTTTTGAGGGTATTTACGTCCCGGTGAGTAACGAAATCGCTCACCACTTCTACCGAACCATTGTCGAGATGTGGAATTGTAGGGAAGAAGTGTAAGAGAAGTGATTATTTTCAGTATTTATTTGTGAATTAGAGAGGATCTCGAGAGTTTTGACTTAATCATCAAACTGCATGTTCCATCACCTCACAAATTTGACGAGTCATTACTTACAACGTCTGTGTTAACAATGAGGAAATTAGACATAGGTAGCGACAGGTACAGTGGTCGTATGTGTAACACTGTTAATGCAATAACCTTCACAACTCGAAGGAACTTGCAATTGTGTGTCATGAACTTCAACATTCGGGGCATTGAAATGGCATTTGCTAGTTCCCCAAAGATAGTTCTTTACGGTTTGCCTAGTAAAAGTGCTTATTTTGTGGTTTCGAAGCATTAAAACGCTTTCTGACTACAAGAACCTGAATACCATGCGGGAAATATTCTGTAGTCTTTCTCTTTTTCCTTTAATCAAGCATGCTGACCTCCAGATCCTAGTCACGGAATGGATAGACGGTCTGGCATTCGCCCAGTTCATGGACCTATTCAAAACTCGACGACTTCCAGAGGCAATAGCACGCCTCTACTTTCGCCAATTAACTTCTGCCATCATCGCGATGCAGAGCCAGCACATTCTTATGAGGCAAGACTTTAACCACCTCGAACGTTTCCAGCCTTCAATCATCTGATTAGCTTCCTCTAAAAATGCATCGAAATGCGGGAACCAAAAGCTAGTTTATTGAGTGACGCATGAAGTGGTTCGAATATGGTCTATAACACACATTTTAAATTAATCAATAAAATATTATATTTATGCTGATTTTCTGGACTCTGATTTCCCATTTTCTAAAAAATAACTGCTATGGCCGAGCAGACATGATCATTCTTTACCAACTTTTCAAAAAAATTATGGGATTGTAGTTAAACACAAATAATGTATACAGATGGCACCTTTTAATGCCTGATTTTCTGTCCAGATTATCGTTTATACAAAGAATTAATTTACCTTTTTTTCAGGGAAATTCAAGTGAAGAGCCTCATTATTACACAGGATTTTCGAAATTTGAAACTGACAGGTACGTGTTACCTGTGAAGTTTTTTCTATATATATATCCTGACAAGTAATGCTTAGACCCACTGTCGAATGATAAGTCCCGCATTTGGTACCATACAGGGAAGCGGCGACTTGTGAAAAAAAGAGGATAGAGCAGAAACCACTGGCTACAATTTCAGTCCGCGTGTTCACTTGAAGGATTTTGATGAGCATTACGACTGATGAGTAGCATTCAATGAGAAATAAAATTTGTGTTGGGATCCCCTCACTTACGATTTTTTGGCATTTATGTAAAGTTTTGATAGCATTCTATATTCAACACAGATGGATTTATCGAAGTATTCCCTGGGGGAAATTCGATCTCTGGGAATATGCTTTAATCCGCTGTGTATGACTGACACAAGTGGGCAATTTATTCATCATGAGATATTTCATTGGTTTACGGAGGAGGCATCGCAACAAAGCATCACTGGGCGGGCATAATGGTTGAGGTAGAAGTTCACTGATTGGTTCCACATTAATTCAGACACTTCGATGTCTTGTCTTGTTTTGCCAAAGATTAATTTCAATTCCAAAATAAGCCTTCGACCTTTTAGAAGCAGAAGTACATTCAGTCAGCAATCGCAGTCTGACTAGGATTATATGCCTCGAAGAAATGTCAAAATCTAAAAAATCAAAATTTTGACGATGAAAACAGGCTTACGGTTTGGATTATGATGGTTGTGGTGGCCTCGTTAGCACTACCTCAAAACCCTTTAGTTAAAAGTACTCAACAGCCCGAGACAAGACAGCAACAGCAGACGCGACCGTTTACCGGCGTTGCGGATGACAAACGACTGGTAAGAGTAAACGATCAAAACGGATGAGCCATTGACACCGCGATTGATGATAATCCGCTACAAACCGTCTTAATTATCAGTTTGTTTATTTTCGCATGGAGACCATTGAATTAAATGCACATCTCTTCGCCTTTGACAACTTTGGATCAATTTTGAACTTAAAAAACTTATTCAGGTGGTCGCAAATCAAATCGTGTTCTTAGCCAAAATATTCTCACCATGTGCAAATAGTTCATTTGAGCTCTATCGTTATTGGATTAACGGTTTAGCTTTGATCCTAGCCGCACCAAGGGCCTTTTTTAATTCACTGAGTATTCCAGGTCTGACAATTTCCCAAGCTTGTTAGCGCTGACAACTTCTGTGTGCATACATCAAATTACTACTTCGTCAAAACCCGTAAATTTCCAATTAAAGATGATAACCTGCACTACCAGTCTGAGTGCTTAGTCGATTTTACAAAATGCTAAATCTGAGAAAAAAAGTAGAAAACCGTTTTTCAAGAGATTTGTGAATGCGTCGAAGCAGTTCTATGGAATCAACATCCTAATTTTTAAGTTAGAACCAGCAGACTGGCGCTAACCTTCACAATCATCGTTTTGAATGAACCTTAAAGAGATAGGGTTATGACAAATATGAAACTGATACTTGTCTCGACAATGGGCAATGAGAGGCAGAATAATTATTATTAGTTTTACTTAGAATGAATTTTGTGTAAAATCATTTGCTGATGTAACTGGTAGAACAAGACATGAGTAATAGTTTAAATGTACGATTGCATGCATTTGAAAAAATGCCTACTTCAGTAATATTTTAAGGGAAATGAAATGAGTTAGAAGGCTAATTAAACTTTTGGAAAAGGAAGAGGGAATAGCAGACAGTTGCTTTTATGTTTAACACATGACAGACTACCAATAAGTCATGGGACGCGGTTAAAACGATTAAAACTTGTAGCAAATCGTGTTGATTCATGTTCATCAACTCTGACGCCATGTCCTCCTACACCCCGCACAGCCCTATTCACGGTGTTTCAATCAGACATTCGGAACGGTCTGTTCATTCACTCCCTATGTATGTACTCCTTCTCCTGCTACTAATTTTACTCATCTGGCTATTCGGTACTCCTGCAAGTTCGTTTAAACACGACTTTTAATGCGTACACAACACAACTAGGTTGAACAACCTAGTTGATGGTACTCGGTATTCGTGGTCTTGTGGGGGTTTCTGTGCAGCGCAGCCGGGCCGGCCCATGTGTGTTTCGAGACCACATACCAGGGTCTTCAACAAACCAAGTGGAAGCCTTCTCTTTAAGTAGTCCAGTTCCCTTTTAATCACCGATTGTTTATTAAGGGTGTAGTGGCTTTACTAAGCACAACCTCACAACCCTCTAGTTAACAGGCCGTAGCAACCCGCGAAGAGGGACATATCAGCGACAGCAAATACAACCGTTTATTAGCGTCACGCCGACCAAGTGTGTCATTGCGTGTGGATGCGTGAGGGGGTGAAAAACGACTATAAAAACGTAACCAATGGAATAGGGATGCATCATCGACATCGTCGTATCAGTAAACAGAATTCACTCACGCGCGACCGCTGATAATCCGCTGCTACCGCTACAAATACCTCGAATAAAACCAAGGTGACAGCTACACCGCCGAGATTTGGACACCATCAAAAGTGCAGTCGCCGCAATC